ATGAGCCAAGTGTAGCCGGCCAGGCCAAATAGGCGGGACGAGCCCAGCAGGCCCGAGCAAAACTCTGGCACAGGTGCCACCAGCCACAGATGTTTCTGGCCAGAAAAGTGACACCCCCAAAGATTCTGTAACATTGGCATCATAAGAATGATAAATCTTGTGGCTTGGCCTGGTGGCTGATGGAATTGTGTGCTTTAAATGGGTAAACTGTATGGTATATAAATTGTATCTCAAGGGTGTTCAATGTTTTATCACTGGCGAGGTGCGATGACTCATGCCTGTAATTCCAGCATTTTAGGAGGCTGAGGTGGGAGGATTACTTGAGGACAGGAATTTGAGACCAGCCTGGAAAACATAGCCAGACCCCATCTACACAACATTTAAAAATTAGCCAGGCATGGTGGCATGTGCCTGTAGTGCCAGCTAATCAGGATGCTGAGGCAGGAGGATCACTTGAGCCCAGGAGTTTGAGGCTGCAGTGAGCTATAATTACACCACTGCACTCCAGCCTGGGCAGTAGAGTGAGACTCTGTCCCTAATTTAAAAAAAAATGTTGTCTTCTAATTCATGAACATGAAGTGTTTTTCCACTGATTTAGATCTTTAATTTCTTTATTTTATTTATTTATTTTTTTGAGACGGAGTCTTGCTCTGTAGCCCGGGCTGGAGTGCAGTGGCCGGATCTCAGCTCACTGCAAGCTCCGCCTCCCGGGTTTGCGCCATTCTCCTGCCTCAGCCTCCCGAGTAGCTGGGACTACAGGCGCCCGCCACCTCGCCCGGCTAGTTTTTTGTATTTTTAGTAGAGACGGGGTTTCACCGTGTTAGCCAGGATGGTCTCGATCTCCTGACCTCGTGATCCGCCCGTCTCGGCCTCCCAAAGTGCTGGGATTACAGGCTTGAGCCACCGCACCTGGCCTGATCTTTAATTTCTTTAATGGCGTTTTATAATTTTCAGAGTATGTTTTGTACTTCTTTTTTTTTTTTTGTAAATTATTTCCTTCTGTTATAAATGGAATTCTTTTCTTAGTTTCATTTTGAGATTATTCATTGCAAGTGTATAGACATAACATTGATTTTTGTTTATTGTCCTTGTACCCATCAGTCTTCGTGAACTAATTTTATTCCCATGATTCTTTTTTTTTTTTTTTTTTTTTTTTAATTTGAGATAGTCTCGCTCTATTCCCCAGGCTGAAGTGCAGTGATGTGATCTTGGCTCACTGCAACCTCCGCCTCCCAGGTTCAAGCAATTCTCATGCCTCAGCCTACCAAGTAGCTGGGATTACTGGCACCTGCCACTACGCCCAGCTAATTTTTGTATTTTTAGTAGAGACAGGGTTTTGCCATGTTGGCCAGGCTAGTCTTGAACTCCTGACCTCTGGTGATCTGCCCACCTCGGCCTCCCAAAGTGTTGGGATTACAGGTGTGAGCCACCGTGCCCAGCCTATTCCAATAATTCTTTAGTGGATTCCTTAGGCTCTTCTATGTATGAGATCATGCCATATTCTAATAGGGATAGTTTTATTTATTTATTTTTTTTGAGACAGAGTCTCACTCTGTTGCCCAGGGTGGAGTGCAATGGCGTGACCTCAGCTCACGGCAACGTCTGCCTCCCGGGTTCAAGTGATTCTCCTGCCTCAGCCTCCCTAGTAGCTGGGATTACAGGGATGCGCCACCACACCTGGCTAATTTCTGTATTTTTAGTAGAGACGGGGTTTTGCCATGTTGGCTAGTCTGGTCTCGAACTCCTGACCTCAGGTGATCCACCTGCCTCAGCCTCCCAAAGTGCTGGGATTACAGGCATCAGCCACCGCACCTGGCCCTCTAATAGGGATAGTTTCATACCTTCCTTTTAAATACTGATGCCTTTCAATTTTTTTTTTTAACATGCATGCTCTGAGTAGAATCCGTAGTGCAAAGTTGAATACAAATGACGAGAGCAGATTTCCTTGCCTTGTTCCTGATCTTAAGGGGGAAAGCATTCAGTCTGTCACCATTAAGTATGATATTACCTACCTGTGGGTTTTTGTAGATTTTAAATTTCCTGTCTTCCTTAATGTATTAGAAATCTTTTTTTTTTTTTTTTTTTGAGACTGAGTTTTGCTCTTGTTGCCCAGGCTGGAGTGCAATGGGACGATCTTGGCTCACTGCAACCTCCACCTCCTGGGTTCAAGCGATTCTCCTGTCTCCGCCTCCCGAGTAGCTGGGTTTACAGGTACATGCCACCATGCCCAGCTAATTTTTGTATTTTTAGTAGCAACAGGGTTTCATCTTATTGGTCAAGCTGGTCTCGAACTCCTGACCTCAGGTGATCCGCCCGCCTCAGCCTTTCAAAGTGCTAGGATTACAGGCGTGAGCCACCACACTCAGCCAGAAAAAAGGTATTTTTAAAGAGCTGTTTTAGGTTCATAGCAAAATTGAGCAAAGAGTACAGTGAGTTCCCATATGCCCCTGCTTCTACACATGCACAGCATCTCCCACTATCAGCATTCCGTAAGAGAGTTGTACATTTGTTATATAACATTGGTGAACCTACATTGACATGTCATTATTACCCCAAATGCATAGTTTACGTTAAGGTTTACTCTTGGTGTTATACATTTTAAAGATTTTTGACAAATATATAATGACCTGCATTCAACATTTTGTGGTATCATACAGAATAGTTTCACTGCCCTAAAAATTTCCTGTGCTGTGCCTGTTTCTTCATCCCTTTCTCCCCTGTGAGTACTGGCAGCCACTGATCTTTTTACTTTCTCCATAGTTTCGCCTTTTTCAGATTGTCATAGTTGTAATCATATGTATGTAGCCTTTCCAGACTGGTTTCTTTCACATAGTAATCTGCATTTGTTTCCTCCATGTCTCTTTGTAGCTTGGTAACTAATTTATTTCTAGTGCCGAATAATATTCCATTTTCTGGATGTACTACAGTTTGTTTATCCATTAATCTTCTAAACGATATCTTGGTTGCTTCCAAGTTTTGACAGTTATGAATAAAGCTGCTTATAAAGATGTTTATGTAAGTAAACGAAGATGTTTATATAAGTAAACGAAGATGTTTATATAAAATAAAGATGTTTATAAACATCTCCATGCAGGTTATTTTGTGGATATATGGTTTCAGCTTCTTTGGATAAATGCCAAGGAGTGTGATTGCTGCTTTATGTATGGTATGCTTAGTTTTGTAAGGAATTGCTAAACTGTTTTCCTGAGTGGCTGTACCATTTTACATTCCCACCAGCAATAAATGAGAGTTTCTTTTGCTCCATACCCTTCTCAGCAGGTTTTGGTATAGTCAGTGTTCTGGATTTTGGCTATTCTAATAGGCGTGTAGGGGTATATTGTTTTAATTTGCAATTCCCTAATGACATACATTGTTGAGCATTTTTTCATGTGCTTATTTGCATCTGTATATCTTTTTTGGTGAGGTGTCTGTTCACATAGGTTTCTTTTTTTTTTCCTTTAATATCATGTTGTTATATTATTGTTGAGTTTTAAGCATTCTTTGTAGAGTTTGGATAATTGTCTTTTATCAGATGTGTACTTTGTAAAGATTTTCTCCCAGTCTCTAGCCTGTCTTCTGATTTGAAGTTTTCTAATATTTTGTGGACTTTTGCATCTATATTCATAAGTGATACTTGCCTGTAGTTTTCTCTATTTGTGATTTTTTATATCAGGGCAATACTAGTTTCATATAATGAGTTGGGAAATGTTGCCTCCTTTTCTGTTTTTTGAAGAGTTTGTGAAGAATTGGTATTAGTCCTTTTTTAAATGTTTGTTATAATTAAGTGGTGAGAACATTTGGGCCTTTTCTTTATGGGTAGCTTTTTTTATTGCTGATTTAATCTCATCAGTTGTTACAGATCTATTCACAACTGTTTCTTCTTGAGTCAGTTTTAGTAGTTTGTGTTTTGGAATTTGTTCATTTCATGTAAGTTATTTAATTTTTTGGCATACAGTTGTTCATAGTATTCCTTTATAATCCCTTTATTTCAGTAAGTTTGGTAGTAATGTCCTCTTTTTCATTTCTGAGTCTAGTAACTTGAGTCTTGTTTCTTTTTTTTCTTGGTCAGTCTAGCCTAAAGTTTGTTCATCTTTTCTTCCCCCGCAGGTAAGTTGTTACACAATCCCTAGCAGATTCCAACTTGAATGGCCAAGTTCCTGCTTGATCATCTTTTTAAAGAATTAGTTTTTGGCCAGGTGCCTGTGGCTCATGCCCATAATCTCAGCACTTTGGGAGGCCAAGGTGGGCAGACCACTTGAACCCAGGAGTTAGAGAACAGCCTGGCAACATGACGAAACCCCATCTCCACAAAAAATTAGCCGGGTGTGGTGGTGCGCACCTGTAGTCCCAGCTACCTGGGAGGCTTAGAGGGGAGGATCACCTGAACCTGGGAGGTTGAGGCTAAAGTGAACCATGATAGCACCTCTGCACTCTAGTATGGACAATGGAGTGAGACCCTATCTCCAAAAAAAAAGAAAAGGAGGAAAAGAAAAAGAACTACTCTTTGGTTTTATTGATTTTTTTTTTTTTTCCCCCCTATTGTTTTTCTATTTCCTATTTCATCCGTTTCATGAATTTCTGCCATAATCTTTATTATTTCCTTCTCCTTGATTTTGGTTTAGTTTGCTGTTATTTTCCCAGTATTTTATGGTGAAATGAAATATAGTTTATTGGTAGTATGTTTTTTATTTTCAGTGTAATAGTTTAAATTTTCTTCTACTGGGAAATGTCTTGTAATATTTATAAACTGCAACTGGAAATGTTTTTATATCAAAGTAATCTTTATAGAGATTTCATGCTTTATAAGGAGGGGTTAGTATGCAAAAGGAGAGTGATTCTAGTGAAAGAACTCTTCTAGGAATATTTTAATGTGAGTAGTGTGTTAACAATACTGCCAGACTTCATAGTGTGAGAATGGGTTTATGGAGTTATAAGTATTGATGTTCTATTTGATAATGCATCAAAGAGATAAATAATGTTCTTTATTTCTTCTTTTTTAGATAAAATCAGTGGTTCTGGAAGTAACTCTGATATGATGGAAAACAGCAAGGAAGAGGTAAGGATAATTATTTAGAGATATTTGTTAGTTACTGTTAACCGACTAGAGCATATGTCGTTAGATTGCTTCTAGACACATGTATGTGTTGAAGGCTACTGATACCCAGTTGTCATTATGATACTTCAGTTTCGTTGTTTTCCAGTTTGAGAAGGTGTTCATTGTTTCTGTTGTTGTTGTGGTTCACTTCAGCAGTTGACCTAAAGTCAGACAGCTGAAGACTTTCCAACAGATAGATATTTAACTGTCTTTATATTACCCCAGAGGTGTTTGAGGTGGATGTTATGGGCATGAACTTCATGGTTGTGAAATCTCTCAAAACTTGGTATCTAGAGTCTGCTAAGCATTATTATTAGCAACTCATAACAAGGTCCTTTGCCTGATACACAGGTCTACAACTATGGTTTTGGGAAATTTTTACCTATTGTAAAAAAACTGAATCCAGTAAAATATATTGATTATACTGGCAAAATGAGGGTAAGTTTAGTATCTCAAAGCAAGTTGTAGAAGTTACTTCATGCCAGATGTTAGCTTAGAGAATAATGAAACATATTTAGAGCCTTAAAACTCCCTACTTCTGTTGAGATCTGATTACTTCTGCTTCTTTGTTTTGTCTTTGTTGACTGGGGCCATGATCATTTTACAGCAGTGTATCCCCCGCAGCATGTGACAGCAACCATGTGAAAAACGAGAAATTTAATCTTCAGCCAAGGAAACCTGGCAGTCAATGAGAATTAGTTTTTATTTTTATTTTTTTTTGCATCTGTGTTCCTTATGTGGTAGATAATTAGTTTTTGGAATTCCTTTTAGAAAAATATTCTAGGCACATAAATAGCATCTCATTATATCCCTGTATTGAAGTTGCTATAGGGAAATAGCTAATTGTAGGGGTGCTGTTTTGAGAGTTTTATTCACTTTTATATTTATGTCTCACATCTAGGGAACTAGCTCTTCAGAAAAATCCAAGTCTTCAGGATCGTCACGATCAAAGAGGTTGGTTGATGTTGAAGGGACAAAAAGTTATTTTCTTTTTCAGGTTATTTTCTGTTTCTAGAACCAAATTTTTTATGAACTTATGTCAAGCACTATTCTGAGTTAACTATTCTATACAAATATACATATTTAAAAATGATAAGTATAATATAATGAATCCCTTTGTATCTGTCACCTGATTTTAACAATTATTTTTCATTCCAACTTTGAATTTTAAAGGGTTTTTAAAGGATTTATTATGTATTAGTGGCCCTTGCAATATGTAGTTTATTTCATTAGACAATATATGTCTTTGAAAAAGGAGAAAATAATTTTTGAATGCCTTATGAGACAATGGGTTTTTTGAAATTGTCTAGGATGGGGAGTTAGTCATCATAGTTGTAAGTTACAAGGAGAAAAAAGAGTGGTAAAAAACACTTTTTTCTGCTAAATTGTGAAGCCATACATAAAAACTGAAACTATTTTCTAACATAATATAATTCCCAATATACTGTGCAGTATAATTCTTATTAGAAGTTTGCCGCTTAGTCTATTGGACTTTCATTGTTTCCAAGCAGTGGGAATGTCTCTTAAAAACCAAGCTTGCTTGATATTAATTTATTCTCTAAAGTAGTGATTCTTAAAGAAGAGTGTCCTCCAAGGTCTCCCTGGTAGCTTTTTCAGAATGCGTATGCCTTGGTCTTACTCCAGACCTATTGAATCATAATCTTCAGTGATACAGTGTAGACACACATGCTTCCCTAGGTGATTCTGATGTGCTTCCTGGTTGAGACCCACTGCTCAATCTCAACATGTTATTTATGTTCTTTGGGTATTGTTCCAGTTGTCAGAAATGTTCACAATTCTATGAACTTAATTCTTTCATAGGAAACCTTCAATTGTAACAAAGTATGTAGAATCAGATGATGAAAAACCTTTGGATGACGAAACTGTAAATGAAGATGCATCTAATGAAAATTCAGAAAATGATATTACTATGCAAAGCTTGCCAAAAGGTAATGTGTGTTAATTTTTCATGAAGTTAAAGTTGAAATGAATTTTTAAACATCATTTTTATAAAATTGGAACTTGATTACTGTTAGCTATGTACAAAAGACCAAACATGGCATTTTCCTAGTGGTTGTCTAGAAATATATTTGTATGCCAATGATAATGTGTGTTATCGAAGTTAAAAATTTGGAATATTCAGTTAGTTTTGTAAAGAATGAAATCTATTTTTTTCTTTCCATCGAGTTTTAGACAAGGGGCTTTAGTTTCCAAATTATACTTCAATGTGTAAGCAAGTTTAAAAATTTATTATATTAGGTTTTGGTTCAGTCAATGTTAATGTGCCTGCTTTATACAAAAATGTAATGACCGTTCCTGAAAACTTAAAAATCATTTACAGTCTAGTTTAGTCTTATTGCATTCTGAAATTCCCTAAGGCTAGAAGCTGAAGTTAACTATCATAGATAGATTTAGTTGTATTTCTTGCTGTTATCTTTTTAAAAAAACTTTGTCACTGTCACATACCTCTCAACTGTTGAAGTTCTAACCATAAAACTTTGTTAATAATGGGGGAAAAAGCCAGATGAGTATCTTGGACTCTTCATAGCTCAAATCTGAGAGCAATATAATTGGATGATGAGAATGACAGGGGACTTGGTTCAAAGAGTCAAATTTTATATTTTTTTCTTTGTTAAATAATATGTTGTAGTCTCTTGGCAGAGTTTTCAAATTCATTCTCATAGATCTTTTACAGCAGTGCTTATTAAACCTTGTTCCCTGTCTATGTTTTTATGACACATTTTCAAATTATGGAAATTTAAAAAATACGGTAGGTAGGAGGGATGGGACTTTCCTTGACTAGGATAAATTAGAAGTTACAAAAGGTGATAAATGAAATGAGGAAAGGAAATTAATGAAAGAAGAGAGGTAGGGGCCTACCACTTACTTAGCTTTGCAAATCATTTATGACAATTTTACATAATGGTTTTGGTGGCCAAGGGCAGAAACAACTAACATGGGAGTCTAAGTCCCGTAGGTGGTGACTTACTTTGGATTTTTACATTCTCAGTGGTTGTCACTGGGAGTGTTTATGATGTAAGAAATAGGAATTCAAACTTTTGTTTTAATGGTACTGTGGAAGAAAGTCAGCATATGATGTTACTAACCTGAACTATGCCTAATTCTGTCAGACCAAAACAAAAACAAACCCATTTCATAAGGTTAAATTTGGGTGTTTATATTATTGCTGTAATATTTATTGAGTATATATAAGTACCAGGCTCTTACAAAATTAACTCCTTTAATCCTCAAAACAACACTGTAAGGTAGTTATTATTTTGCTTGTAGAGATAAAGGAACAAATCAGAACCCAAGGAACTTTTTCAGCTTTAAATTGAGAAGCTAAGATTTCAACCCAGGTCTGCTTGAATCCAAAGCCTAGTGAGTGCTCTTTTCACTCTGCTGCTTTGCTTCCAATTCTCCCTAGAAGAATCTCTAGGGAGAATTCAGGTTTTTTTTTTTGTTGTTGTTGTTGTTAATTTAAAATCTTTAGTTCTTTTCAAATGCTGGGGCTTCTCTGAGAGTATATACATGCAATGATTGCTGTGAATAACTTTTTTTGGTGGGGATTATTTAATTTTACTACAATCTGTAAAATCTCAATCATCTGTGTCCTCTCCCCACACCCTTTCAGAGACTCAGAAACTCATTTACCAACTAGATGTTATAACTTGTCAAAATTTGCTTGTTGAGTAACATAGAGCCATGTTTCAGAGAAAGCCCCTGGCGACTACCTGCTTTTTCTTCCTTGATTGTTGCCGATGATAGCCAGTTACTAAGCCAAGCAATGTAGGTAAACATTGAGACCTAAACCCTTTTTACTATGCCTGTCTTATTTGCTCTTGAGAGAACTAATGAAAACTTAAATCGACAGCCTCTCTCCTCAATTCACATGTTTTATAGTTAAGGACATTCTTTCTAAAATATTAACATAGGGATCAACAAATGATCTCATTCTACAATTTATTGTCAGGGTACTTTAGCTAAAGTATCTTAATCTCTAAAAACTCTTTAAGGACTTTACAGAGTACTGAAGCTTTGACATACCAGTTGGGAAATGCTGCAGAATAGATACAGGAGTAATAGAATGAACTTCATTTCTCCCACCAATACCCCTCCCTTGCAGTATAAAACTACCCTTAAAAATCTTTCTGAGTTTATGATTTGGATTATGAAAATAGGATGTCTTTAAAAATTTTTTCCCTCTGAACCATATATTTTATGAATTCTTTATGGAACTTAGCATAGATGTTCATATTCATAACAGCTTTTGTGATAGGCACTATAAAAATTCAGAACTGGGTTGAGGCTTTCTATTTGATTCACACATTTCTTTTTTAATCACGCCATAATACCTCCCTTTCCTGTTTTTATGAACTATATTTCAACAAATAAACTGATTGTTGACACCTGGCCCTTATACTATTTCCCTGTTTTATTTACTTTTGTGAGGTCCTTATACCAATATCTAAAGCTTGAAAGAAACAAACTATGTACCAGCAATGTTGGCTTTATCTGAACTGAAGTCTTGTACTTCACTTGCACATTTAATATGTGTAATGGTTTTTTAAATGAAATCATTCTAGGTACAGTGATTGTACAGCCAGAGCCAGTGCTGAATGAAGACAAAGATGATTTTAAAGGGCCTGAATTTAGAAGCAGAAGTAAAATGAAAACTGAAAATCTCAAAAAACGCGGAGGTAAATACAAGTGAAAATGAAACATGAATTTAAATTGCTGTTTATGACCATATTGGAAAATCTGATGTGCTTACTAAAAATACCTCCACTTTTCTGCCTTTTGTTTATTAAAAGCACTACTTAAATATAACTTCTGTTTCTCTCTGAGCTCTGAAGCAGAAAAGGTTAAACACTTTATCAAAACACCTTTGCCTTCAGTGGCTATTAAGTTATCTCAAGAAGCTTAGCATTTCCTTCTTCCACATGTTCTATAATACATATATGCCATAATACTATGTTTCCCCCCCCAACCCTAAAAGACTTTTAGATTTATGCAAAATCTTGTCTGTGGCCTCCAGGTAACTTTATATATAGTTAGAGTTGCATAGAGTGACATACATCTGCATTAGTATTAGTTGGGGTATTATAAATGCAAGTCCCTTGACTCCACTCCTCACAAATTAGAATTTCTGTTGATGAGGTCAAGAATGTACCCCAGTTTGTGTACACTGAAGTTTCAGATCCATTAATCTAAGAACAGCAACATGGACATAAGTAGGAAGGAGTAGGGAGCTAGAGCTGATAACCCTCCCTCTGTCTGCCGGAGGCGCCTCTCCCTTTGTCTGTCTATCCTCCCTTAAACACACAAACGGTGGGGAGTGGTGGCTCACACCTGTAATACCAGCACTTTAGGAAGGCAAGGCAGGAGGATTACTTGAGTCCTGGAGTTCGAGACCTGCTTGGTCTATATGGTGAGACCCCATATCTACAAAAAATAAAAATATCAGCTGGACATAGTGGCGCATGCCTGTAGTCCTAGCAACTCTGGGGGCTGAGGTGGGAGGCTCACTTGAGCCCAGGTGATCAAGGCTGCAGTGAGCCGTGATTGTACCACTGCACTGCAGCCTGGATGACAGAGTCAGACCCTGTCTCAAAAAAATTAACACACATGCATACACACACACATACACACACACACACACACACACTCTCTCTCTCTCTCTCTCTCTCAATATTGGCTAACCATCTATAAAAAGTTTGTATTTATTTAGAAATGTATGGTAGTGGACTATGTGTCCCACTTGTTTGTGTGTGATTCTTAGATGGTGTGTATATATATTTTGGGGCAGCTTAACAGAGCCAGAATTCATAACTGTAAAAGGAATGAATCTCCAAATGATAGAACATGACACTAAATTTCTAAGTAGAAGTGTAGTGAAAGCATATCCATTTAATATTGATCAGATTATATAATTGTGAAATTATAGTGAAGCTCTTATATTGGTGAAATTTTTGTGTGGATTTTTATTTTAATGCTATGATTATCTTGATGGAACCAGTAAAATATATCTATACTTATAAAATGTTATATATATTCATTGTCAGATTAAATAATTTGTAAGGTTGTTGGCAAAAATAAAGGAAATAGTGTTTAGTCTTTTGTCCACAAAGGGGTAGTCAACTCTTTTTGAGCATAAGGAATCTTTCTGAGACTCTAGTTCATAGTAGGGAAACTGCCATTGCAGCAACAGAGCTCATTAAAGCTAAGGTAGTAGTCTTAAAATTTAAGAGAATCCTCAATTAGAAAGTGATGGTAAAGATCAGTAGTAAGAGTTTCTTTCCTCTGATCATAGGTTCTCTAGAGAAGACAAATAACTAAGTGTTCTGCATTGTGTACACTTAGTGTACAGAGTGTCTAAGTGGTGTTTTTTTGGGAAGGGACCCTGGAGCAGTCAATGTCTGAAATGTGGATAAGGGCTGAAAGAATAAAAGAACCACTGTTGTTGATGAGGGTATTCCTAGTGCTACTTTGGTATGCTGCTGGCATTTGGTCTCAGCTGATAAGTTTCAGGAACATTTTATTGAATGTTCTGTGTAGGAATGTTTTGGTATCACGCTTAAGGGAATACATAACATTTATAGCTATCAGTAGCACTTAAATCTTTCATGCCTATTTTCATCTTAATGATTTGTTACATTTTTAAGCTGTCAGAAATCACACAGGAAATTTAACACTAGGTTTACTTTATATACACATATATAGATAAATTGGTGATCTGAAATGCTGAATTGGTGTAGATAATATTTAAATTTTTTAAGAAAGCTAGTTCCAAAATTGAAGCCTAACGTAGGAAACTGTCAAGAATGTAAACTTTATATACAAAGTCTTATATTGATTTGGAATAATATTATAACACAAAGATATGGCTAAAGTTAACATTTCAGGAGCGGATTTTTTAAAAAAAAAATTTCAGTATCATACCCTGTTTTGACATTCTTTTCCCAGTTTTAATTGTTAGAAAGTATATTTTACACCTAACTTTTTTACATGACACAATAATTTTGTTCTCTTTAAAACCATTAAAATGTATTGAGCTCAGAAATGAAAATGCCTCTTTTTCATTTATACCCTGTGTTACAATTTTAAATATATTTCATAACTAAAAATAAAAAATTTAAACGTGTACAGCAACAAGTACATAAAGTAACATTTCAACATTTTACCATATTTGCTTCAGATCTCACTTAAGTAAAATATTGGTTCAGTCCTACTCTCATCCATTTCCCCTTCTTCCCACCCCACAGGTAATGATTATCTTGAAGTTTTATGCATGTGCATGTGTGTGCATGTTTTTCTATGTTTTTTATATATGTATTCATAAAACATTTTTCATTTAAAACTATAACAAAATAATATGCTGTATATATCATTTGGGAACGTTTTTCATTTAACATTGTTTTTGAATTGTATTCATGTCAGTAAATGTACATCTAGTTTGCTTATTTTTCACTGTTCTATAGAATTATGTGGTATCAATAAGTCACTATTCATTTCCCGCATAGGAAGCTATTCCCAATTTTTCATTTTCTAATTTTCTAATTAGTGCTGTGGTGAATATCCTTATATTTGATTCCTTGTACACATGTGGGAGAAAATCTCCAAAGAATTACCTAGTTTTGTTTAATTCTTGAGTGATATATGCACCAAAGCACACAGAAGATGCTTAGTAAGCATTACTTAACATTGGATGAACATTCAGATTCTACATTTTATTTATCTTGTTAGTTTATCTGAATGGAATAATTATTTGAAATGAAAAAGTATGCTGTGGTGTATTTGTTTCTGTTAAAATGAATACAGAATATATGAATACCCAAGATCAAACTGGAGTTTGTAAATAATGTGATTATAATAAATTAGGCTTGTAATACCTGCTATTAGGTAGGATGAGGTGGGAGGATTGCTTGAGCTCAGGCGTTTGAGGCTACAGTGACTTGCGATTGTGCCATTGTACTCCAGTCTGGGTGATGCACTGAGACCACATCTTTAAAATTAAAAAATAAATAAATAAAAATTTTAGCAACATAAATAGTAAACCTTCAAGTTTACTTTTATCTTCTAAAACAGTATGATGGTGTTCTTAAACTTTAAAACTTTTAGCTTCTGGCTAGGTGTAGTGACTCACACCTGTAATCCCAGCACTTTGGGAGGCTGAGGCCAGAAGATTACTTGAGCCCAGGAGTTGGAGACCAGCCTGGGCAACACAGTGAGACCCAGTCTCTACAAAGAATTAGCCAGGTGTAGTGGTGTCTGCCTGTAGTCCCAGCTACTCAGGAGGCTGAGGTAGGAGGATTGATTGAGCCTGGGAGGTAGAGGCTGCAGTGAGCTGAATTTGCACCATTGCATTCCAGCCTAGGTGACAGAGTGAGCTCTAGCTCTTAAATTTTTAAAAAAGTTTTTACAAATAAAAATATTCATGATAATATTTAGGTCCATAGTGCTTTGGACCTTAAACCTAATAGAAACCCAAAAGAGAAAATTAAAAGGGTGAGAAATATATGTGATGTTTTGTTTTTTATTTAAGTATGGTGCCAATTTGTTTTTTAGTTGTCTCCTTTTTATTTGTGAATGTAAGCATTTTGAGTGGCTTCTTCTGAATTATAATCTACCATCTTATTTTGATCAAGGTCTTGGTTGCACATCAGGATCATCTTTGAAACTTTAAGAAAATGTCTGAGAGGTTTTAATTCAGTGGTTTAGGGGTGGGAATGACTGTTTTTAAAAAGGTTCTTCAGATGACTCTAATGTTTAGCTCAGGGTGTGAAACACTGCCTTAGCAGAACTAGGGACAAGTAGGAGGCTGGAGAGGTTTCTGTAGGTTTTCTTCAGTCTGTTTTTCAGGGGACAGTACAGAATGGGACTCTGCCTTTTACCCCTAGTTGTTCTGATGTTTTGCTGCCAAAATAGATATACTTGCAATATCTTGTTTGTCTTTATTTGAAAATAGTTGACAGTGTTGGTATGGAGTGGATAGTGGAGTACACATAGAAAAAAGGCAGGTTAATGACAATTATGGATAGTGTTGAAGTAAATATTGGGAAGGAAATTGGTAATATCATAAAATTACCAAGTTTTTACATACCATATTGATAGGATCTGTGCAGACAATTCCACTTTGAGAATAAAAACCTTTATGGCATACTTAAGTATAGGATTGCAAAAGAATGTGTTCCATATATGTTACTTCCCTGTTCTGTAAGGACTGATACTGAATTTATTTGCAAAGCAATAATAAAAAAGAGCTCTTGGCCCCTAGTTTTAGAAATTTTTGTGGGTTCTCTTAATGTTATTTCGAGTTGTAAAAAATGGCATTTGCATCTGTAAAAGGAAACAATTAGGATTTGTAACTTGGAATTTGCCAAGGTTGTCATGTGCTTAGTAAGTCGATAAAATATTAACCTTTTTTTACTTGTATCCAAGATGCCATTTTTTTCTAAGGATTATGAGGTATTTCATTTCTAATACAAAAGTTACAAAATGCTGACTAAAGTAAATATCTTTTTCTTTGTGTAAATGTGTGAATAATAGTCACTCCTTTCTCCTAGAAGATGGGCTTCATGGAATTGTGAGCTGCACTGCTTGTGGACAACAGGTCAATCATTTTCAAAAAGATTCCATTTATAGACACCCTTCATTGCAAGTTCTTATTTGTAAGGTACGTAATGATCTGTTCATATTTCATGCCATAAATATTTGAATGCTTACCATATACCAGGCCTTTGAGGGCACAGTCTTGAAGAAAGATGGAAATGGTATCTGCCCTTGGAAGACTTCTATTGTAGTGAGGAAGATAGACATACAAAGCCTAAGTGTCATGATAGGGGAGATACTGTGATTATGGGAGCACACAGGAAGCCTGTGTAAATATGATTTGGGTCGGATGGCTTTCTAGCAGAAAGGTGATATGTGAAATATGAATAAGAATTAGCCTGGTAAGTGAGATTGGTTCATCATGTTCTGGGAAGAGGCAACATGGTATTTAGATACTGGTAGTTGAGGGAGAGGTTGGTGTGTTTAAAAATCTCAAGAGTGGATGTGTGTAAATGTTTGTGTTTTATAATCTTTCCCCTTATATATCCTACTTCCCCAAATGTAAACTATCTATGTGGAGCAGGGTTTTGACGTAACTTGGAGATAATAGAATTAAAAATGTTTACATATGTAACAAACCTGCACGTTATGCACATGTACCCTAGAACTTAAAGTATAATAATAAAAAAAAAAATGTTTTTTATGTGTTGATTATAGTTTTAACGGTCTGTGCCACATTTTTGTTAGTAATACCTTGGAGTTAATTTTAAATATCTATAAATGTGGGCCTGGCACGGTGGCTCATGGTTGTAATCCTAGCACTCTGAGAGGCCGAGGCTGGTGAATCACCTGAGCTTAGGAGTTCGAGACCAGCCTGGCTAACGTGGTGAAACCCCATCTCTACTAAAAATACAAAAAATTAGCCGGGCATGGCGGGTCCCTGTAATCCCAGCTACTTGGGAGGCTGAGGCAGAAGAATCGCTTGAACCTGGGAGGTGGAGGTTGCTGTGAGTCAAGATTGCACTACTGCACTCCAGCCTGGGGGGGGCAACAAGAGCAAAACTTCCTCTCAGTAACTACCTACCTTCCTATAAATGTCATGGTTATGGTTTTCTTAACTCATATTCCTGCTAAGATTAATCCTATGTTAGTTTGTTTCCCAATAAAAAGCTGCCTTTGAAATGCAGTGGCAGGCCATGTTTTCCTTGGAATTCTAGCTCTAGATCTTTTCTTGAATGAATTTTTGATAGATTCAGACATGCTTAAATGAACTGTACTTTGTTCTTTAGCAATTCGTATCCCTCCTTTCCTTGAATTCAGTTCAGCAGGGGCCTATCTAGGGTATGTATTAGAGAGTTTCATTTTAAATTTTGACAGTAGAATCTAATATTGCTGGATTTGTGACATATATTTGCCTTTCTGTTTTCTTACCTATATGATTGTCTTTTTTCAAGAACCAGTCTGTTGAGCCTAGGCCATTTCACTCATCTGTAGTTTGTATCAGTGAGCACCTTTTCCCTTTCTGCAGTCCCACTGGAAAGACTTTGAAGTCAGTCAAACTTGGATTTGAATAACAGCTTTGCCTCTTACTAGTTGTATGACTTTAGATTTATTTACATATTAATGAAAGTTAGCCTCATAATACGTCCTACCTTGCATGGTAGGTATTTCGATATTTAGAGATAATATAGATTAATTCTTTTGCTGTATGTATAGTAGCTGTTTGTATATGGTGGCTATTAAAATTGCTGAGTACCCACATCTAATACATTTTTATGTAGAGCTTTAGTAGCTAGTTGTATGAGACCAGAAATTAGCTTTACTAAAATCTTTTATAAACTTTGTTTTTTTGGTTTGTTTTTGAGATGGAGTCTTGCCCTGTTACCCAGGCTGGAGTGCGGTGGCACAATCTTGGCTCACGGCAGCATCCACCTGGGTCAAGCGATTCTCCTGCCTCAGCCTCCCGAGTAGCTGGGATTACAGGTGCCCGCTACCACACCTGGCTAATTTTTGTATTTTTAGTAGAGACGGGGTTTTACCCTGTTGGCCAGGCTGGTCTTGAACTCCTGACCTCAAGTGATCCACCCACCTCAGCCTCCCAAAGTGCTGGGATTACAGGCATGAGCCACTGCACCCAGCCAAAAATCTTTTATAAACTTTTAAATAAGGAATAGTGGTACTTGAGTGTATGGAAATCTATTTCAAGGCATTAATTCTTGAGACTTGAGATAGTTAGATGTCTGTACAATACAGACATTGGATAGTGGGTAGCAGTGTTTTTGTTTGTTTGTTTGTTTGTTTGTTTTGTTTTTTTTTTTGAGTTTTATTCTGTTGCCCAGGCTGGAGTGCAATGACGTGATCTTGGCTTACTGCAACCTCCGCCTCTGGGTTTAAGTGAGTCTCCTGCCCCAACCTTTAGAATAGCTGGGATTGCAGGCGTTTGCCACCATGCCCGGCTAATTTTTGTATTTTTAGTAGAGACTGGGTTTCGCCATGTTGGCCAGAGTGGTCTTGAACTCCTGACCTCAGGTGATCCACCCTCCTCGTCCTCCCAAAGTGCTGGGATTATAGGCATAGGCTACTGTGCCCGGCTGGGGTAGTACAGTGTTTTTACTTTGAGTCTCTGAAACATGCACACATACTCCTTTTTTTTTTTTTTTTAAATTGTTTTTATTTTTAAAATTTTTGTGGGTTCTTGGTAGGTGTATATATTTATGGCGTACATGAGATGTTTTAATACAGGCATGTGATGTAAAATAAGTACATCGTGGAAAATGGGGTATCTGTCCCCTCAAGCATTTATCCTTTGAGTTACAAGCAATCTAATTATATTCTTTAAGTTATTTAAAAATGTACAATTAAGTTGCTATTGACTGTAGTCATCCTATTGTGCTATTAAATAGTAGGTCTTATTCTTTGTATTTTTTTGTACCTGTTGACCATCCCCACCTCCTCCCTATCCCCTCACTACCTTTCCCAGCTTCTTGTAACCATCCTTCGTGACATCCTTCATTAGTTCATCCATGAGTTCATTTGTTTTGAGTTTTAGATCCCACTTATAAGTGACAACATGCAATGTTTGTCTTTCTGTGCCTGGCTTATTTCACTTAATATAATGATCTCCAGTTCCATCCATGTTGTTGCAAATGACGGGATCTCATTCTTTCTTATGACTGAATAGTACTCCAATGTGTATATGTATCGCATTTTATTTATTTATTTATTTATTTATCTGTTGATGGGCACTTAGGTTGCTTCCAGATCTTTGCTATTGTAAACAGTGGCCCAACAATCATAGGAGTGCCAGTATCTCTTTGATAAACTCATTTCTTTTCTTTTGTGTATATACCCAGCAGGTGGATTGCTGGGTATCTCAGTTTTTAGTTTTTTTGAGGAAACTCCAAACTGTTTTCTATAGTGATTGTATTCATTTACATTCCTACCAACAGTACACAAGGGTTCCTTTTTCTCCACATCCTTGCCAGCATTTGTTATTGCCTGTCTTTTGGATATAAGCCATTTAAACTGGGGTGAGATGATATCTTATTATAGTTTTGATGAACATTTCTCTGATAATCAGTGATGGTGAGCAGCTTTTCATATGTCTATTTGTCATTTGTATGTCTTCTTTGGAGAAATGTCCAGTCTAATCTTTTGCCTATTTTTTTATTGGATTATTTGATTTTTTTCCTATAGAATTGTTGGAGCTCTTTATATATTGTGGTTATTAATCCATTGTCAGATGGGCACTTTGCAAAATGTTCTCCCATTCTGTGGGTTGTCTTTTCATTTTGTTGATTGTATCCTTGCTGTGCAGAAGCGTTTTAACTTGATGTGATCTCATTTGCCAATTTTCGCTTTGGTTGCCTGAACTTGTGTGATATTGCTCAATAAATCTTTGCCCATACCAGTGTTCTGGAGATTTTCTCCAGTGTTTTTAATTACTTAAAAAAGTAAAGTTTTTGTCCTTTATGAATGCTATCAATTTTGAATTAAATTTCCCCTTCCTCTTTTCTTTTAATAGAATTGCTTTAAGTATTACATGAGTGATGATATTAGCCGTGACTCAGATGGAATGGATGAACAATGTAGGTAGGTAATATAGATGAGCTAACATTCAGTGTTTCCTACTTTTGGGAGGAATTGTTACATAATCTTTTATGAGGTTTGTCTTTCATAGTATCATCATTGATGTCTTTAATGAAAGGTTGTTATTTTCTATCAAACCCTAGGTTTATGTCTAGTTTAAGTTTCTAGTAAAGAATAAGCAGATGACATAAATTACTACTAAAATTACTTGGAGTAAAATTTAAATCGCATTATAACAAAGAGATTAAAATGAGTTTTGTTGGGAATAGTGTTTATTTTTATTTTTTTACCTATCTTTTCAGTTTCCTGAAAGAAGGGAATAATGTTTTAATCTTTAAAACATTTCAGATGGTGTGCAGAAGGTGGAAACTTGATTTGTTGTGACTTTTGCCATAATGCTTTCTGCAAGAAATGCATTCTGCGCAACCTTGGTCGAAAGGAGTTGTCCACAATAATGGATGAAAACAACCAATGGTATTGCTACATTTGTCACCCAGAGCCTTTGTTGGACTTGGTCACTGCATGTAACAGCGTATTTGAGAATTTGGAACAGTTGTTGCAGCAAAATAAGAAGAAGATAAAAGTTGACAGTGAAAAGAGTAATAAAGTATATGAACATACATCCAGATTTTCTCCAAAGAAGACTAGTTCAAATTGTAATGGAGAAGAAAAGAAATTAGATGATTCCTGTTCTGGCTCTGTAACCTACTCTTATTCCGCACTAATTGTGCCCAAAGAAATGATTAAGAAGGCAAAAAAACTGATCGAGACCACAGCCAACATGAACTCCAGTTATGTTAAATTTTTAAAGCAGGCAACAGATAATTCAGAAATCAGTTCTGCTACAAAATTACGTCAACTTAAAGCTTTTAAGTCTGTGTTGGCTGATATCAAGAAGGCTCATCTTGCATTGGAAGAAGACTTAAATTCAGAGTTTCGAGCGTTGGATGCTGTAAATAAAGAGAAAAATACCAAAGAGCATAAAGTCATAGATGCTAAGTTTGAAACAAAAGCACGAAAAGGAGAAAAACCTTGTGCTTTGGAAAGGAAGGATATTTCAAAGTCAGAAGCTAAACTTTCAAGAAAACAGGTAGATAGTGAGCACATGGATCAGAATGTTCCAACAGAGGAACAAAGAGCAAATAAAAGTACCGGTGGTGAACATAAGAAATCTGATAGAAAAGAAGAACCTCAGTATGAACCTGCCAACACTTCGGAAGACTTAGACATGGATATTGTGTCTGTTCCTTCCTCAGTTCCAGAAGACATTTTTGAGAATCTTGAGACTGCAATGGAAGTTCAGAGTTCAGCTGATCATCAAGGGGATGGCAGCAGTGGAACTGAACAAGAACTGGAGAGTGCATCTGTAAAATTAAATATTTCTTCAAAAGACAACAGAGGAGGTATTAAATCAAAAACTACAGCTAAAGTAACAAAAGAATTATATGTTAAACTCACCCCTGTTTCCCTTTCTAATTCCCCAATTAAAGGTGCTGATTGTCAGGAAGTTCCACAAGATAAAGATGGCTATAAAAGTTGTGGTCTGAACCCCAAGTTAGAGAAATGTGGACTTGGACAGGAAAACAGTGATAATGAGCATTTGGTTGAAAATGAAGTTTCATTACTTTTAGAGGAATCTGATCTTCGAAGATCCCCACGTGTAAAGACCACACCCTTGAGGCGACAGACAGAAACCAACCCTGTAACATCTAATTCAGATGAAGAATGTAATGAAACAGTTAAGGAGAAACAAAAACTACCCGTTCCAGTGAGAAAAAAGGATAAGCGGAATTCTTCTGACAGTGCTATAGATAATCCTAAACCTAATAAATTGCCAAAATCTAAGCAATCAGAGACTGTGGATCAAAATTCAGATTCTGATGAAATGCTAGCAATCCTGAAAGAGGTAAGCAGGATGAGTCACAGTTCTTCTTCAGATACTGATGTTAATGAAATCCATACAAACCATAAGACTTTGTATGATTTAAAGACTCAGGCGGGGAAAGATGATAAAGGAAAAAGGAAACGAAAAAGTTCTACATCTGGCTCAGATTTTGATACTAAAAAAGGCAAATCAGCTAAGAGCGCTATAATTTCTAAAAAGAAACGACAAACCCAGTCTGAGTCTTCTAATTATGACTCAGAATTAGAAAAAGAGATAAAGAGCATGAGTAAAATTGGTGCTGCCAGAACCACCAAAAAAAGAATTCCAAATACAAAGGATTTTGACTCTTCCGAAGATGAAAAACACAGCAAAAAAGGAATGGATAATCAAGGGCACAAAGGTTTGAAGACCTCGCAAGAAGGATCGTCTGATGATGCTGAAAGGAAACAAGACAGAGAGAATTTCTCTTCAGCAGAAGGCACAGTTGATAAAGACACGACCATCATGGAATTAAGAGATCGACTTCCTAAGAAGCAGCAAGCAAGTGCTTCCTCTGATGGTGTCAGTAAGCTTTCTGGGAAAGAGGAGAGTTTTACTTCTTTGGATGTCAGAAAAGTTGCTGAAACTAAAGAAAAGAGCAAGCATCTCAAAACCAAAACATGTAAAAAAGTACAGGATGGCTTATCTGATATTGCTGAGAAATTCCTAAAGAAAGACCAGAGTGATGAAACTTCTGAAGATGATAAAAAGCAGAGCAAAAAGGGAGCTGAAGAAAAAAAGGAAATTTCAGACTTTAAGAAAAAAGTAATTAAAATGGAACAACAGTATGAATCTTCATCTGATGGCACTGAGAAGTTACCTGAGCGAGAAGAAATTTGTCATTTTCCTAAGGGCATAAAACAAAATAAGAATGAAACAACTGATGGAGAAAAGAAAGGTAAAAAAATAAGAGAGAAAACTTCTAAAAAGAAGGATGAATTATCTGATTATGCTGAGAAATCAACAGGGAAAGGAGATAGTTGTGACTCTTCAGAGGATAAAAAGAGTAAGAATGGAGCATATGGTAGAGAGAAGAAAAGGTGCAAGTTGCTTGGAAAGAGTTCAAGGAAGAGACAAGATTGTTCATCATCTGATACTGAGAAATATTCCATGAAAGAAGATGGTTGTAACTCTTCTGATAAGAGATTGAAAAGAATAGAATTGAGGGAAAGAAGAAATTTAAGTTCAAAGCGAAATACTAAGGAAATACAAAGTGGCTCATCATCATCTGATGCTGAGGAAAGTTCTGAAGATAATAAAAAGAAGAAGCAAAGAACTTCATCTAAAAAGAAGGCAGTCATTGTCAAGGAGAAAAAGAGAAACTCCCTGAGAACAAGCACTAAAAGGAAGCAAGCCGACATTACATCCTCATCTTCTGATATAGAAGATGATGATCAGAATTCTATAGGCGAGGGAAGCAGTGATGAACAGAAAATTAAGCCCGTGACTGAAAATTTAGTGCTGTCTTCACATACTGGATTTTGCCAATCTTCAGGTATGCAAAAATAAATAAAAAATTCATAATTTGTACTTTCCCCCTCTTGAATTACTACATTGTTTAATTTTCCCTGAAGCTAATCAAATTTAGGGTTACTAAGGAGAATACCACTTAAAATTATTTAGGAGTTTATTAAAAAAAACATTTCCCCATTTATTTTTCTACTGCCATTGGAAGATATTTTGAACATCGCTAGTATTCAGTATCAGGGATCCCAAATTTGTTGAGTAAATGACAAAATTTCTTTATCAATATTTAGTGCTTTTCTCTAGAGTAATGAGCAGTAGTTTATGAAGGAAAAGCGATTGGTACCAGTGGTTCAGTAGCTATTTATTTATATAATGGAAGTGAATCCTTGGTACTGGTATGACATGGTGTGTCAAAATTTTAACTGCCATACATATGGCTTTTTAAGTTTGAACAGATAACTTTGTGTCTTATGAAATTCCCTTTAATTATTTTTAATTTACCTAATTAAAACCCTTTGTTGGTGCTTATTAACTAGTTTCTAATGACATGAACAGACGTTTTTCTTTTAAAAACACTGACAAAATAAAGGAAGGAAGAAAATCCAAACATTAGCTGGATTAGCCTACCCTGATGAGGTAGAGTACTAGGAACATTAAAGTTTGGGTCAGCTGGTGAATAAAAATATTCTTAGGAATTAATTAAAATTAATCTTTAAAAATTTATGAAAAATAATTTTAAAAAGAGGTTTTTATTATTAAAGTTACTTTAAAAATCAGTTGTATAATAAATGTGTATTGGTCATTTGTCTTTTTTTTTTAGTCAGTAAGACCTGTCAGTTAACTATGGATACTCAGAATTTATTTAAAAATTTTTATGAAGTGGGTTTTACATAAAATTGTATTTCCAACATAGGTAGAATTAAAAAATTTTTCCTTTCAGTTCTTATGTTACAGTTTTCAATTTATCCCAATTGGATTTTAATGGAATTAATTTGAATCTTGGCTATTTTTTAAATTTAAATTTTTAATTTTGTAGAGATGAAGTCTTGCTATGTTACCCAGGCTGGTCTTGAACTCCTGGCATCAAGCAATCCTTCCACCTTGGCCTTCCAAAGTGTTGGAATTACAGGCATGAGCTACTGTGCCCAGCAAAATCTTGTTTTTTTAATAAAACTTTTCATTTCTTTTATGGAGTACTTATGACTTGACTTGAAAACCACATGTGATATGCATGGTGTGTGCTTCAGTTGAATGCTCTGCTGTATCAGATGACTAGATGGAGCTCTGTTTGTGTGGCTATTGTAATTCAAGTTCGCAGTTTCTTACCTGAAATGCTTGGGGTCTATTGTGTTTCAGAATTTACAACTTTTTGTCTTTTAGAAAAATAATAGAGAGCAGTTACTATATATTTTATAAAAGCCCCAGTGGGGCCTGATGCAACACCAGATAATCAAACACAGTATTTCTGCAGCAAAACATTTGAAGATTCACATGTTTTCTTCATGTGAATAAGCAGTTTAGAACAGGTTTTGCTGCCAGATTGTCTTTGGTACCCTCTTACAGAAACTTTCCGTTTTGAGAGTGTTTTAGATTTCAAAATTATGTATAAGGGATTATGGACTTACATTAAAAATACAGAATCTAATAGTTACTTTGATGTCAAATCAATGTTTTAGTTGTTAGGTTAGCTGTGAAAATCCTTATTAAGGATTAGAGTTTAAGAATAATAAATGGTGTTTAAAAATTTAGTTAAAAATCCATTGAAAATTATATGTCACAACTAATTTTATTTCTGGTTTTATTTATTTGGATCTTCTCTCTTTTTTTCTTAGTATGGCTAATTTTAAACTTTGGAAAATTGGTTTCTGTGATTAAACAGTTTCACTGATGAAATCAATATGTTTGATTTCAAGTATTTTACTACTTTTCTTTCTCAAGATCTCACTTGATTTATTGATACCTATGAAAGTATTACACACCTCTCATGTTGAGAATTATTAATTTTTGGTGTAATAATTAATATGCATTCATTAGGCCTTAAGAAGGGATGGTGATATATGGCAAATACTCAATTGATGCATCTCCTGATAATTACTTATCTCAGCACTGATCTAGATCACTGTGTTCCATTTTGATTTATTTAACTTTGATCTGAAGGACAAATAGGCTGATGGGGAGGTAAACTTCCTGAGGTGTGTATCAAGAGAAACTTTGAGAATCTGTTACTTCAGCAAATGCCAATCCTTCAACTCCTTGGTGAAATATGCCTTGTTGAGATTTTCTTTACCCTGCATATTTTTGGGGGCTAAGCTGATTATTTGGGATGAAATAAGAAAGAAGATAAATTTGTTAGGGAATTTAACCTGTCAAAAATGGGGCCTTGTCAATAGAAACAAGTAGAATAGAATATGAGTGCCTTGAAAATAAGCACTGTGTAAAAAGTTCTGTTTTTAAAGATAAGTTTGTGTGTGAGCCAATGTTACGATATTCCTTCAGAGTTTACTTACATGCTTATATAAGCATGCTGAATTTATGTACTCCTCTGTCTAACTTAATTTTAGGTCACAGTTTTAGAAGGTTAAAACAAAAACCCTGCCCCCTATTGAGTTTAGAGGATTCCAGTTTATTTGCAGTATTTGGGTATCATATTACAGCTACAGTATTTTCCTAGAAATTGGGGCTTGGTAATGGCATGAATAACCAAGATGAAGAACATGGTCCTAGGAGACTGCAGTTTAATGCAAGACAGACATAGAGAAATCATTAAAAAAGGTAATAGAAGAAAGATATAAAACTAGATTGGGGCCTGTAATCCCAGCACTTTGGGAGGCCAAGGTGGGCAGATCATCTGAGGTCAGTAGTTCAAAACCAGTCTGGCCAACATGGTGAAACCCCATCTCTACTAAAAATACAAAAAAATTAGCCACGTGTGGTGGCACACACCTGTAATCCCAGCTACTTGGGAGGCTGAAGCAGGAGAATCGCTTGAACCCAGGAGATGGAGAGTGCAGTGAGCCGCGATCATGCCACTGCACTTCAGCCTGGGCAACAGAGCGAGACTCCGTCTCAAAACAAAAACAACGACAATCTATAATGGGGCTACACAATAAATAGCAAGTGAGATATTTAAATATTTGGGGAAATACGTAGAAGAATAGTTGGCATTTGAACCTCAAAGGATAGGTCAGATTTTGAAAGGTGTAGTAAAGAGGGAGTGACAGTGCTAATTATATTTCATTTGAAGATTGGTCTGTTTGGATGAGATATTTATTGTGAGTTTGCTGGGATATTATGAAATCTCCTCTCTCTCTCTCTCTTTTTTTTTTTTTTGAGTTGAAGTCTCACTCTGTCACCCAGGCTGGAATTCAGTGGCACAATCTCGACTCACTACAACCCCTGCTCACTGCAACCTCCGCCTTCTGGGTTCAAGCAATTCTCGTGCCTCAGGCTCCCGAGTAGCTGAGATTACAGGCACATGCCACCACACCGGCTAAGTTTTGTATTTTTAGTAGAGACGAGGTTTCTCCATATTGGCCAGGCTGGCCTCGAACTCCTGACCTCAAGTGATCTGCCCGCCTCAGCCTCCCAAAGTGCTGGCATTACAGGCTTCAGCCACCATGCCTGGCCTTATTTAGTGTATTTCTATCCTGAGCCTGTAGGTGTCTGTTTTCTTTATAGATTTTTTTTCCTCCATTTCTCTTCAACATTTTATTGTGAAAAACATTGAAGTATACATCAAAGCATCTACCATTAATATTATACTGTATTTTCTTGATAACATATCTATATATCCTGTCTATCCATCAGTGTATTTTTTTTTTGCCTTTTTAGCTTTTCATTTTGCATAATTATAAATCCACAAGAATTTGTAAAAAAATAAGAAATACAGGGAGGTCTCAGATACACTTCACTTAGTTTCCCTCAAGGGTAACATCTTGTAACTGTAGTACAGTGTCAAAACCAGAAAACTGAAGATTTATTCAGATTTCACCAGTTTCACATGCACTCATTTGTGTGTGTGCAAGTATAGTTCAATGCAGTTGTACCCCATGTGTATCTTTGTATAATCACCACCACAACTAAGATATCAAACCAGTTCCATTATCACAAGGCTCCCTAATGATGCTGCTGTCCTTACCTCCATTCCTGACATCTGGCAACTAGTAATCTGTTCTTCATCACTGTAATTTTGCTATTTTGAAATGGAATCATGAAGTATATAACCTTTTGAGATTGGCTTTTTTCACTTAGTATAATACCCGTAAAATCTTTGATGCATTTCAAATTAAATGGTACACATCAGCATACTTCTCCTGAAATACTTAAGCATGCATAATATTAACCTACAGTTTGATATTTCAGTTTGTTTTTCTTTTTACGTAAAATTTATGTAGAATGAAATGCCCAAATCTTAACCTCTTTAGATTTTTTTTTTTTTTTTTTTTTTTTGGTGATAGAGTCTTACTTTGTCGCCCAGGCTGGAGTGCAGTGGTGCAATCTTGGCTTACTGCAATCTCCGCCTCCCGGGTTCAGGTGATTCTTCTGCCTCTTTCTCCCTGGTAGCTGGGATTACAGGTGTACACCACCATGCCTGGTTAATTTTTGTGTTTTTAGTAGAGACGGGATTTCGCCATGTTGGCCAGGCTGGTCTGGAACTCCTGACCTCAGGTGATCCACCTGCCTCGGCTTCCCAAGGTGCTGGGATTACAGGCATAAGCCACCTTGCCTGGCCCTCTTTAGATTTTTAATCAGAAGATAGAAATGTAGCTTTTTATAAGAAAATAAGTTTTACTGTACTGAACTGTATCACTGGGTAACTCAGATCACGAATACCATACACATTCAACTGCATTTTAAAATTACTTGCTACTACCAAAACATTAATACCGGTTTTGCTATTCCTCGAAGTTACAGCACCTGTTAATGTCAAAATTAAAATGGATCAGTACAAAGGTTATTACGGCAAGAAACTTGTGCTAATATGATGACTGTTGATATAGAATTGTTACTGAGAAGGGTGGACTTTAAAAGCATTGTGCCCTGGGAAGGAACTCTGAAATATATAAGGGCCAGCTATTTATCATTTTACTGCTGGCACTTCACAAATACTCGGTTATGTTTTCTATAAGAATGCTTTTTACTCATATTTTGGAGTCCAGAGTTTAGACCCCACTTAGTTTGCTTTAAAGTTTTTGGCTTTCAGTTTTATTTTACATGGTTTTAATTATATAGCTTATTTAAAGCTAATTTTAAGTACACTTTTTTCCCTCAAGGAGATGAAGCCTTATCTAAATCAGTGCCTGTCACAGTGGATGATGATGATGACGACAATGATCCTGAGAATAGGTATGATTCCATCTGTAAGGACTTTAAAAAGATTATAACACACCCTAGGCATGGGCACAAACAGCAGCAACGGAACAGCAAGCAGGTTGTAAAAACCAGGAGTGCCTGCCTTAGAAAGACTCGCTCACAGTCTTCCTGCAAGTTTGAAAGAAAGGCCAGAAAATGGGCTAAAACTCAGAAACCTTAAGAGAAAGTAATATTATTTACACACCTAGCATAGGGTGTGTTATAAATACAGAACTGTCAATTTTATGTTTCTGTGTAAACTGCGATAATTTTTTTGGAATAATTTATTTTGACAGATTATTGATGAAAGTAAATCATATCTCAATAAATTGGTAACAACAGACATCTCCTCTATATTTGACTATTGTTAATTGCCATCCAATATGGTGGTCCTATTTATTAAGGCCTGTTGAGAGTAAACAAAAGGAGAGATTACTCAGATATTTAAGATTAAGAAATTGCTTTCAAAATAAGTGTAAATTTACAAGGTATCTAGACTGAGTTAAACCAGTTTTCAAATAAAATAGAAACACACGGTATGAGAGCATTTACTTTAGTAAGACTTAATAGGTTTAAATATCAACAGTGTAGCCTATACAGATATACTTAAGTAAGGAGTGGCTGGGTGAAGAAAAAAAAAGACACTATCAGTATAGTGAAGAATAAGGAAAACAATGGTATTAAAGAGTATAGCTATAAGGTTTCAACATAACTTTTAAACACTTTCTGGACAATAGCATACCCCATGCTCATAATCTTCAACAAGAAGATAGTGTGGTATAGTGCATGGAATTTTGGAATAATGGGCATAAGGGTATCTGATTTCTAACATTTTTAACAACCGTCTGTGTCATCATGGGCAAGTGACTTTACTTTTTGTCAAAAATTTACTATATTTAAGAAGAAAAAGTTGGGCGAAATTTTCTCTAATTCTTGTACCAAAAAATCCATGATAGATTTGAGATGATTTCATTAAAGAGCACTACATTAACCATTCATTTATTCCTAATAGTAAGTTCTAACATTAAGAAAACATAAAAATACACATGTAATTTTATGTCATAATTTTGTAAGAAATGAATTGAGTTAGTAAATGCCCTGGGTTCAGCTGTTAGTCTCACTCTTTTATATCTTGCTGATGCTGTTAGGTTTCTCTGTTGCAAAGGTCAGCATTCTGCTAATTAACAGAATAATGTTTTTATTAAGGTGAATGAACAGTTTTATTTTACACTTTTGAATAGAGCTTGATTGTGGACACAAAGATTCAGATTCTGCTTGCCTACTTTTTTAAATTTAAAAATGTATATCCATTTATTTTGTGGGATAGGTGGTAGGTTCCAGAATGGAGTAATAAGGGCATACAATTTATTCATCAGGGGTTTTATATTACATCATCACAGCCAGATACTGAAAGCATTTAAAATTTTATTCTTTTTTAAGATACTTTACTTTTTCTTCATTTATATTTGCTACTATTTGATTTTCTATACATCATGAGGCCTCAGATGTTATTCAAAGGCTAATAATGTTTTAAACAGTCTGCATCTTAATTTAACTGTGAATGATTACTTTAATTTCATATTCAACCACCAAATAAGAGTGTTGTTAAGGTATAAGTTTTGTGTGTGTGTGTTAGAGCTTGTCAAAATATAAATATCATTTTCAACTTTTAAGTTACCTGATCATATCTCTTTGTAACTGGCAAGTATTTTATTGGAAAGTATCTTTAATTCCATCTTGAATTTGTGATTAAAAAATACAACCCTGTTGAGTACTTTTGAGAAGAACTGAATTTTATCTTGAGCCTGTGTCTCTATACTCAGTTTAATGTGTTTTCATAAAATATACAATTCATTAACTTGTTTAATATTCACTATACCAAAGAGAGATCTAATACCCATGGGTTATGTAGTCATGATGGGGATACAAATACTTTCTTGCACTATTTTAGTATAGATTATATATTTGAGCATAGTTGAATATGCACTAAGCAACTTAAAATATTCATTTGCAGATCAAGATTAAGTCTTAGAATTATTTTTCTAACTTCCTAATTTTTTAGTAGGTTGTATTTTGGTAGACAGCATATTGTAATTGTATGTAAATTTGTACACAATTGTGTATAAATTGTGCATAAATCTTATATGCTTTGCCTTTTTAGCAGTATTGTAATACATTTTCAGTGTTGGTGTTTATGAAGAGATAAATAGTGTATTATTGCAAATGGTTAACTATTTGGATGCAATAAATTTTTGTAAACCTTTTTTCTTGTTCAAGCATTTAATTTTAATAATGTTACTTTTTTATATCATGAGAGTTGACGTAATTTGTTATTACAATATATAGGCTAGTTTGTAGCCAAAGAAGTTTTGAAATTTTGAAATTTAGGACGTAAATGCTTTTAATTCCCCTAACATACATACTTAAATATATTTGTGTGAAAGTTTTGCAATAGATTTAACTATTTACTTTTTCAGTTTTAAAGCTATGATAGCTTTTGAGGTCATTTAAAAAACTTAGTCATATCCTGAATATTTTAGTAAATGTGAATAAATTTCTGTTTTAGCATACTATTATGTAGCATCACTCATATTTGAAAGTAAATGTATACTATTATGAGACAGAGTGGTCTAACCTGTAAATTAATTACTATTTAATTGCATTTACTTAGTGAACAAGGACAAAATATTATAGGTTGATCAACACTTGTATGTTTCTGTTTAGCTTTTTATAAAAAAAGTAGACTAATCATATATTTTGAATTTTATATAACTGAAATTTTATTTCAAATTTTTAGAGCTTAGGCTTTATGTGGTTTTTCAATGGCAGAATAATAATACCAAATAGGTTGTCAGGTTTTCAAATTTATACACGTAATTTTAAAGTAATATATTTGAATGTACCATTAGGATAGGGTTTCATTGGCCTTTCAAATACTTGTTAATTGGATTTTAAATTGGTTCTTTCTTTGAAAAGACATCCATTCATATAATTTATTTCAATTCAATATTTAGGCTGGCATTGAAAATACATCATAATTCCTTTATATGTTCAATATAAATGGGGATATTTTGACCAAACATTTTCTAATAATATCATATATTTTAATTTAATATCTGTACTGGGAATGAGCCTCAAGTAATAAGATAGTAGTGTGTTCAAGTGTTAACAGTATTAGTTTTGAGGTCATTAAACTAGGCTTGTCTTTAGAGACTGCATACCGAACAATCACTGAAGAGACCATTTATCCCCCAAAAAATTATCTTTTGAAATTTCTTTATTTGTTTATTTTGCAGGATGTGAAAAATATTTACAGTTGAACTTTTGAGAGCAAGAGACCAAATTGCTAGGTTTTTCTAAATTAGCATTCTTTCTCCCTGACAACTTTGACTAAGAGCTGAGATTTCTACATGGATGTCTGCTCCCCCAACAAACACATTTATTTTATTGTTGAAATGTGCTTAATTGGGTCTAGTCATACTCCACATTTTTTCTCATAATTTCTCTGTGGGTGCGACTGAATGCTTTTTTTTTCATGGAAGCTAAATTTGATGTGGAGATTGCTAAAAAAAAATTGCCCCATTGTTCTATTTAATTATATTGGGACAAGACCATAGCATTTTAAATTTCCAACTAACTATTGTTGTATCATTTGATAATAATTTTGCATTTCAAACTAGAAAATATGCTAATGATTTTTTTTTCCTACTGGCTTGGTGTGGGTATTCTGTTGATGAAGGCTCTATACTGTTAATCTAGCATATTTTTGGAGGAAACTAATGATTTCTGGATGTTATTTATGCCTAAGAAGATATTTAATGATTGTTTACTTGATTTCAGCACAGTTAATGGCATGGGTATATCACAAGTCCCTTAATCATTTGATGTTCACTTTGCTTTCATTTTAAACACTTTTTCAAATGTCTCTCTCCTACACATGTTGTCTATTCTCTATGCAAATTTGCTAAATTTGGAATTATTTTTTTCCTGATTTTTTTTGTGGTAGTTCTGTTTCGTTAGCAAAACTTCTTTGATTCTCCTTTATTGTACTTGAAAGACAAAGGTGGCATTTTAAATTAAATATTTTACTTGTTTTTCCATTTGAGTAAGGGATTTAAATATCTAGCAATTTTATGGTAATTTTTTTCAATTTCCTTTGTCTATATAGCGCAGGTAAGTATTGCAAGTCATTTAAGTACAACACAGGTGTCCAGCCAGTAGATAGGATCTACTTGTAGGTATCTAAACTGGCTGTAGTTGTTTTTGGCTTTCTTTTTTCTACTAGAATTCCAAGTAAGGAAAGACATATGATGTGTAGTGGTGACCTTTGTCCTTTTATGGTCAAAATTTAAACATTATAACCAGTGTTTCTTTCTTGTTCTCTGTTCTTTGGTGATATTGGAACTTCCAGAAAATAAGAAATAGGTCTTCCTCAAAAAAGAAAAAAAGAAAAAAGAAAAAGGAGAGAATTTGGATTGCTAGTGTTAGCAAAAGTGATTCATTTTTCTGACTTAATATCCTTTGTCTTTAACTTTGAAATTTCAAAATAAATTGAGATGAGTAAATTCTGTGTTTTCATTTTTCAAGTATAAAAATATTGAACTAGTTATTTAATATGATCAAATTTCCCATATTAATTTGAATATGTTTTTTCTTGTTAAAATGCCTCTAAAACTGGTTTAAATTTTTGTATAAAATGAGGGAATACACATGTAATAATTCAGGCCTATTGAAACATAAGAGTCTGTATGAATTATTAATAACTGTGGGTTCTTAATTTCATAGTTTTTATTCTACTCCCAAGATTTTTTTAAAAAGTCATTTGATATTAATTTTCCTGGTACCCTCACCAAAAAGGATACAGAGCTGCTTTTAATTAACTACCCACATTGCAGGATTTGTGACTAAAAAAAATGTTTCAAACCATTGTTTAGCGTTTTGATTATTTGGCGACTTCATTATTACCTCATGAATTCCACCATTTTGGGGTACAG